ATCCCATAAAGTAGGTGCAATGTGATATAAACAAACTGTAGAGTGAATTGTGCATCTCATTAAAAATAATTTTATGAGTTCTATTGCATAGTGTTAGCAATGCACTCTTGATAAGCCTTAGAGATGCTGAAGTTGCTAAGTTAGTAAGAGTTTAAGACTCTGAATGGGATCGAGCTTAATTGCAGAGTGTTAGCAACACACTCTTGGAGATGACCAACTATAAAAATGTTATTGTGTGGCCTCAATAAGAGAATAAGGGTTAATTCTCGATGACATTCTTGAGACAGGATCACGACGCATGGCCGTAAAGCGTCACCCCTATAGATCGTTGTCATTGCCGTTAGTGTGTTGCTTTTATCCCACACCAACACAATCAAGGTTCGAGTTCAAGAACTCTGTTCACTCAGTTCCTGTGGGGGTTAGGGGTAAGAGCTTAGAATTTGGTTCAAACCGGAAGGTACAATATTTGAAAACACGCTATGTCTCTTAGAGTTGAGCCTACAACTATAGATTTGTGGGGGATTGTTGGAAATATGATGATATGAACATTATTTTTTGGGTCACATTATTGTGTCCTAAGATATGTAATTGTATTAAACATGGAGAGGAGGCTGATAATACATCAAAGAATAACTTACATATTTGGATTTAAATTAAAATCCATAGTTGTAAAGAATATAAAGTGATGTATTAAAACAATGAATTTATTTGTTCTGTATTAGAGGATAAAAAGTCTCATAAGATTACTTATAATCATTATATGATAAGGAATGTTGTTCAAGTATCATATAAGATGGTGTGACATTTTAATTTTTACACTTATATGTGCACCTGGTCGAACAGATTATAAGTGATAGAATTAAATGTCGTAATTTTAGAGACTCTCTAAATTGTATGAACAATGTAATAGCTGATTGGATTATTAAGTTGAATTCAAATTCAAAATGATCCTCAATTGCTATTTATGAGATTCATAAACATGAAACCGTTTTGCCACTTAATTCTCATGGTTTAATATTGCATTTGATTTCCATTAGAACAGTCCATGCGTAACTGCCTCTTTATTTATTTATTTTTTCAAATACACATCGTGTATTTTGGGGGCTTTTCATTCGTAATTCTTTCTCTTTTCCATTTCAAAGAGAAATACATTGATTGGGACCAAATTTTTCATAAGTTGTTCAAGTCATCTCTATTACTCGGCAAAATTTGGCAACGGTCGAAGGTTTCAGTCAAGGTAGCTACAAGTCTGAAACGTCGTTTGCCCGACGGTACCTCCCAAGAAGCGCTATTTTTAACGTTGTTTGCTCGACGATACCTCGTAAGCTCTCAAATAGCAAAGACTGTAATGGTGCACTAATTTTCAAAGCTTCTAACTTTCGCTCCACAAATGCAATTAAGTGGCGCAGACCTCTAAATTCTCGAGTCCACGTAAGCAGGATATGATCTTCATAACCCTCATATTCAAAGTGCATCACAAACGCCTCCTTTACTCTCTCGAATGTATCATGAAAATATTGAGTACCTCCTCTTGACTCGCTGTCACTCTCCATGAAGGCATCCCAATTCGTTTTGTCACTGTTCTTATTAATGTATTCTTGGATGATGTTGTCACTCTCCACACAAAAAGGAATATCATCATCAAGGAGTGAATCAAAGAAATCCAAATCTGAACCCACGTAATATTGAATCGGTGCATGTGTACAAGAGGGGTAATCTTGCTTGTGGAGTGGGACTTCTTCATTATGAACACCATCTACCTCACCCCCACTCTCTTGAAACGTGTAATCATCTTTTCCCAACTCATCTTCAATACCCAAACCTACCTCAGTAGCACCATCATCATGACTGATCTTCTCCTGGCCCTCCTCAGGTGTTGAGACTAATGATAAATCAAATGGCTGAGGAGTTTCTGTATGAAGATCACAGTGATTTGTGATTTCATCACTTACAGCTTGTACCGTTTCGAACCTTTTCGTGTATTCTTGGAAAAATAATTTGACACTATAATCTTCTTCTTCATCATCTTCAAACATAGGTGAGTCTTCAAATGCATCAGGAAGTGTATCATCCATCACACTCACACCTTCGCTGTCTGACTCAATGCCATGATCATCCTTATTGGTCTCCTCAGGTTGGGCTTCTGTGTCGTTAGGATGAGATCTCCCGGGCTCCTCAGATAGGGCATTAAACAGCTGATCCAAGTGATTTTCCATGTTCTGCATCCTTGCATTTGCTTGTTGATTATTTACCTCAGAAGCTTGTATGAATTGCTTGAGTGTTTCTTCCAGGTCAGATAGCTTCTCTGAAATTATCTCTTCCAATTCGTCGTCTGAATCCTGCGGCTCATAGCTCAGCAAAGACGTAGGAGTGATTGAAACATTTGTATTTGTAAGTTGTGGGGAGGACGAAGTGGGGTATGCAGTTGCCCAGTAAGGATGGTCGTATGGAGGAATGGGGCAAAGACATGAATCGTGACCACCTCCACAGAAGTTACAAATGCTATTTTTAGGAAAGCAATCAACCAATTCCTCAGGACTTTTAGTTCGAATGAGAAATTCTAGAATGGAGCCACGTTGTGCCCTAGGATATTGTGGATAAGGATAATGATTAGGAGAATGAGATTGGGAGTATTGCGTATTTGGAAGAGGGTAAGAATAGGAAGATGGAAATTTTTGTGGTGTTGAAGAGTAATATTGGCGAGTTGTGTAGAATTGAGGAGGAGGAGGAGTGTAAGGAGGGTATGACGTATATGGTGAATATTCCATGGAGGTGAATGGGTGCATCTCATGTCTTTTCGAAAAATACCTGAAAGGTTAGTACAGAAAAATTCTACGGAAAACTAAAAAAAATCTAACTAAAAAAAATCTCGCTGAAATTAATTAACCCTTAAAACCGACACCGTCCCCGGCAACGGCGCCAAAAACTGATGTGAGTTTTCTCGCACTTAAAAAGATTGTAATATAGCGGTGAAAGTACGAGTATCGTCTCCACAGGGACGGTAAAAGAGAATTAAGAATTAACTAAAATCAGCGATAAAAATAAATAAAACAAATGCGGTCGTGCGAGAATTGGTTGCTTGAGAAAACTAAAATTGCAAATAAATGACTAAAAGTAAATATTGGGGTTCTTCTTAATTAACGACGAAGGGAACAGGGATTGATTCCGGGGTAATCAGATTTCTGGCAGATCAGGCTTAATTACATGAATTTAATTTAATTGAGCCTAGCTAATCAATACTAAGTTCTTACCGCTCTCGCGGCGTAGAGTACAATAATTTAGGGGACCAGGCTGATCTCTCATGCGACAGGATCCTAAATTATTGCCAAGACGAATGAGCTTATGGCCCCTTAATCGCTACTAATCTCTTAGCGAACGATTAAGTACGTGTGTGTGAATGTGTCCTAGAACAAATTAGATCTCTCTTAATTTATTCTATAAGCAATTGTAATTCTAGTGGCCATTCTAGGTTACAAAAGATATCAATTAAATTATTCAAACACAAATTAAACGGCATTCATGCAATTTACACCATCAAGAACCTAACCATACATCATGATTAACCCCTTCATCAACCCCAAATCCCTAATTAAAACTACTCCCTATTCATAATTGAAGAATCAATAGAATTGGGATAGATAGAATTAATTGTCATTAATCAAAAAGTAGGAATTTACAAAGAATGTTAAGGAATTGAAAAACCTGGCTGAAAAAGCTCTCTAATCTCGTCCTTAATCTCTCTCTAAAGTTCCATCCCCCCTTTATTGTGTTTAGGGGGTGATATTTATAGGAAACAATCAAATTTGGGTTGATTTAGGACTCCCGTAGCCGCGCTCGGCGTCCACGCTCGGCGAGCGTGGCGTCCGAGCGTGCGTAGCAAGCCCGTGTCACGGAATTACGCTCGGCGAGCGTACCAGCCACGCTCGGCGAGCGTGGATACGAAATTTCTCTTTTAACTCTCTGCCTCGCTCGCTCGGCGAGCGTACCAGCCACGCTCGGTGAGCGTGGCACTTTTCTTCATGTTTCCTTATTTCTTGCTCCAAGATGCTCCCGTTTGCTCCTGTGATTGATCCAAAAGCTCTTTCTTTATTGAAACTTCATCGCGAACCTCCCGGTGACCTTCAAAATTCCGAATTCTTTCTCGAACATGCCTCTACTCATCTCGATCACTCCTAAAGCTCCGATTCCGAGCTCTCAATGACCTGATCTCAACTTTAGAATTCCAAAACTCGTTCCAATATCTGACTAACATGACTTGAGCTAAATATGACACTTATGACGCCTAAAAGCGAGGAAAATCATCAAAATCCGACTCCAACACACATCAAATGCGTGTTGAAATATGAACTTATCAATGACATCACTGTGACACTCTATCATTCTCAAGGAAGAGATCACATGTTCAAATATTATCACAGTTCAAAGATGTTGGCCTTAACATAATAACATAGTTCAAAAATATTTATATATATTAAGTGAACGTAAATATTTATAATCATCAAGTTATAGGGTGGATTTACATTTATACGAAATGCAATTTTTAGATGAAATGCCAGTGTAAATAGGCAAAACAGGAGGTGTAAATATGTGAAAGTGTGTTATGCTACTCTTAAATTATACTTAAATATGATAGTATAAATTTATGAAAAAAAATGTTCAAATAGGTCCTTCTAGTATTGGAGAGGACAAATTTAGGTATTTGGCATTTTTTTTGAAATAATTACATAATTATGACTAACATAAAGATTGATATGAAAACATGACCTTTTAACTGTAGTGACTATAGTAGTAACTTTAATCATATATTACGTGCTTCCTTCGTCCATTAATATTTAGCCCAATTTGATAGACATCGAAATTAATGAAGTAAAAAATGTGTGATTTAGGTTTATGCAGATCAAAGAAAATTATGTGGAAGCATAAATTCTTTACCAATAATGCTTTAGGTACACAAAAAGTTTTACACCATTTGTACATGCTATAAATAGCCTATTTTTTTACCCCCTTCACTGTTTCTTCTTTCATTTCTCTCTCACCTCCTTTCCCAAACCATTTTCTTTCGTCAATTGTCTTCACCTCATTCCATTCCATTCCTCATCTTCACCCACTTCACAAAACTTGCACTATTCACTCAGATAGCTAAAGCTCGAAGACCAACTCCAATATGAATAATGATGTTCCGGCTCGAATCAATGTGGATGAAAATGATGAAGATGGTCAACTGAGAATCTCCTCAATTGGGTGTAGAAAAGAATGAGCAATCACTTTTGTCAACTGTGAATTCCAGCCCTACATTTTTGCCTTGTTCATGAGGTAATATTTTATTCCGTTTTTTTGTGCTTTAGAAATATATTTGTTTTTTATTTTTGGATTTTATGTAAAAAAAAGACTACATATATGTTATAATGTTGAAGGCTATATTGCACTTCTATATTGTTATAAATTTGTGATGTTTAATTTCAAAATTTTAATTCAACTACTCTATTTCACTTGTATACCCATGAGGTGTTTTTTTTTTTTTTTGGATAAAATGTAAATATATATATCCAGAAAATAGCATTACAATGCATCAAAAGAACCAAAAAGAAAACTATCTAGGTAGCAAGCTAACCTAAACTAGTATCTACCATATCCCCCCACACGCGATGGGGGGAGAGAGGATTTTTCTTTTTTAAAGTCAAAAAGGATCGGGACAGGCCCCGGCTCAAATCACAAAAAAGTCCAGTCCAAAAGGTCCTTCAAAAACTTCATCTCACCAAAATAAACATCAGTCCATAAAAAAACAAAGAGACTGGGCCGTGAGCTAATAAAAGCCCCCAGGCCCAGCACACATTCCGTATCCAAGGAGACATCAGCAGCTTCACACGCGTGGGCCAACTATCCAGCAAGGCGACAGCCCACCAAACTTCAGCCCACAGCAGAACCGGCTAGGGCAACAGCCCGTAAACCTGCATCCTCCATCGCAAAGCTTCCCAGCCGCCTCCATTCAAAATTCAAAAACAGTCTGGCAGGTCAACTGACAGCCTGGCCAATCATGGTCAGCTGGCAGTCATCCCCACCCCACCCCCACCCCAACAACCCCGTATGGCGCCGGTTCCACCACCGGTCAGGTGTTTGTTGAAATGATTGAATGAATGTTTTATTGATATTCACGTTTTTATAGATGTATGTCATTCATATTTTTTTGTTTGTCTGTCATTTGTTTGGAGTTGTCTGTAAGGACTTTATAAATGTCTGTGATGTTATAAATAGATGTATGTCATTCATATTTCCTTGTTTGTGTGTCATTTGTTTGGAGTTGTCTGTAAGGACTTTATAAATGCCTGTGATGTTATACATAGATGTATGTCATTCATATCTCCTTGTCTGTCATTTGTTTTGAGTTGTTTGTAAGGACTTTATAAATGTTTGTGATGTTATACATAGATGTATGTCATTCATATCTCCTTGCAGTATTGAATTGTCTGTCTGTCCTTGCTTTTTGTTTGTCTCATATATTTTTTATGTGACTGTCATTTAACATGAAATGCAAGTGCATAATGCAAATGCATCTATTAATGAATCTGTTCCTTCTGATAATGGTCTTGAAGTTGAAGATGAACATGAGAAGCATGAGGTAGTTACACATGTTGCCGAGGAGGGTCATCAAGCTCACGTTGAACATGTTGACATGCATGAGGCAGCTTCTGATGTTGGTCAACAGAGCCAAATTGGTTACAGGGCAACATGTATCATCTCAAACATCATGCATGAAGTGAGTCTTATTGTGTTTCCCACTTTAGAACATGTTTCCTCTTTCCATGCAGTACTTAATTGTCTGTCTTTCCTTGTTTTTTGTTTGTCTCATATATTTTTTGTTTGTCTGTCTATCTTAAACATGAAATGCAGGTGGATAATGCAAATGCATCCGATATTAATGACTTTGTACCTTCTGATACCGCCTATTGGGATGAGGTGGTGGAGTGGTAAGCCGCCGCTAAAGGGGAGTTGGAAACAGAGGGTGATGATGTGTGTATGAAAAGGAAACGGTTCCCTTCTAAGTTCAAAGTTAGCCCTTTCACCGACCCTAAGCCAAAGCGGTTGAAAGCCATCACCAAAGACAACGATAACATCAGCCCAATAGACGAGTGAACTGATTTGAAGAATTTGAATCTCTGAATCTTTCGTATTGTCTATGGTTTGCTTGACACACAAAGTCTGTCTGGTTATGTGTACTGTCTGTGTACATATATTTAATGTTTGATTCTTATTCGAAGCAAACGAACGTTGATAATTCATAAGAAACTAAGTTTGTATCTAACCCCTTATCATTCACACACATTTCGTTCATACGGGAAAATTACGTTAACTTTACAAAATATAGTGCATGATAAACTACATCAAACTAAGGTTTAAGTCCAACCCTTTATCAATCATACATTCCATAAATACGAGAAATTGAGGAATTTGGTCTGATCCACCAATGATGTCCACTGTAGAAGCCTCCTTGCTTGCATTTTTGCCTTTTGACCTCGGCTGAAAAATAAAAACAAATAATTATTGTTTACACATTCAAGTTGCCTCTAAAAGACATCTAACGGGAAAACCCACTCTTCTACCATAGGCCTTGTAGAAATCATAAACTGCCTCTTTACCGGTAAACTCCATACCAACATCGAGGTCTTTATTATTACCTCCGTCTCACTCAACTTTGCCAAGTTGATGTTACGTGAGAAATTAGAATAGTAAATGATGGAGTTATGGGACTAGGCCCAGAGCCTAATCGGCTCAAGCCCCGAACTTGGACCCGTGGATCCAGGTCCACAACCTGGAGCCTGCCTACCATCCCAACGGGGAACCTGCCAGTTCAGCTGACCTGCCAGCCAGGAAAAATAACAGTCAAGCAATTAATGCGCGTTTAATTATGTATTTAATTATGTATTAATATTGTAATTAATTAGTCATTATTATCGGTAGCAGTTACGAATTGTATACGCCTATAAAAGGCACTTTTTAATTCAAACTAAGGAAGCAAATTCTACATGCTATTTCTGGCTACCAAATCCCCTTTGCAATTTTCCTTATTCATATTACTTTCTTGATTCCCACTTGAGTGTCGTACGTAGCTTTCCTAAAAGCCTACGAGCGTCCTATTTTGGACCAACATTGGTGCTTTCATTGAGAGTCTCTATTGATCTCTCACATCACTTTAGTAGGAAAAAAAATCAAGAAATTCATCCCAATCCAAGGTGCTACAGTTCCACTTCCTCCTGTTCTCTTCGCCAATCACAGCTGGATGCCGCGCGCCGACGGCGCTGCTGGTCTCCCTCATCGCCACGCCTATTCATGAGACAGACCTTCAAATGTGCGCCCACCTAATTCCTATGAAGCAAGTCTGCTCTGCGTTAAAGTGAATGGGCCGAAATTACACTAAGACCAAATTTGATTCTCCTCAAGGATGACGACGGGCTGCAATTTAAGCAACTCATTCGGGCCCGTTTGGTTCTAAAGCTAAGTTTCCAAAAATCCTCTATATTTGATACCAAAAAAATCATAAATTAAAACATTTGAAAAGATATTTTAAGTGATATATTGCTTTTACTCTTGTTAAGTGTGTGTAATTTTAACATTGAACAACGGACTTATGAAATTTGATCATTCAAGTACGCCGGACGAGCACACACACTCGTACACTGGCCGAGCACACACACTCGCGCCACCGGGTCACGTCATATGGGTGTGACGATTAATAAGCTCCAATATAAATGTTGATACCGCACACTCTTGACTTCATACGAGTTCTTGTGTGCTCTTACCTCTTCCTAGTGCATCACACTCCGACCTCGGGGGACGAGTCACCCGTTCAAAAGTTTTTACTTGCGGGTTCGAACTACTAACCTCGGGCGGTGAGTTAAACTCTTGCTAGAGGCCTAGAACCACGTTTTTCTGAGCAATTTTGTCACTTAATTGACATTCACATTTCCCGAAAAGGTTGATATACTTTAGTTCACTGGGGTTGGATTATCCGTTCGAATGGTGACTCCGAGTCACTTACTCGCGGATTCAATCTTCCTTTCGGAGACTGGGTGGAGGCCTAACTTGGGAACTTGATGTCACTCTTTTCGAGTAGTGAGTCTGACTCGCTTACTCACTGAACCATGGTTCAGAACCGGGTCAGATGCTCTATTCTACACTTGTTGCTTTATGTGTAGGTACGACTGAACGAAGACGAACCTGATGAGTCCGAGCCCGATGAGAAGAACGATTCTAGCCATCCTCTTTGCTGATGGTGACCATTGCAATAAAGGCTGAAGATTTCACCCATTGCTTCATCTTGGGGGCATCAGGTGTACTCTTTTTCCCTTCAATAGGAATTTTTCCCATTGGGTTTTTTCCTAATGAAGGTTTTTAATGAGGCATCTCCTCAACATGGATAAGAGCAGAGATCTTCCAGTCTCGGAGAAGGGCAACTGACTTGGACTACTCCCTCTTAGTCGAGTCTACTACTCGACTAAGGGAGTGGGGGACTCGTGATGGACTTATGGGACTAGGCCCAGAGCCTAATCGGCCCAAGCCCCGAACTTGGACCCGTAGATCCAGGTCCACAACTTGGAGCGTGTCTACCATCCCAACGGGGAACCTGCCAGTTCAGCCGATCCGCCAGCCAGGAAAAGTAACAGTTAAGCAATTAATGCGCGTTTAATTATGTATTTAATTTTGTATTAATGTTGTATATAATTAGTCATTATTATCGGTAGCGGTTAAAAATTGTATACGCCTATAAAAGGCACTTTGTAATTCAAACTAAGGAAGCAAATTCTGCATGCTATTTCTGGCTACCAAATCCCCTTTGCAATTTTCCTTATTCATATTACTTTCTTATTCCCACTTGAGTGTCGTACGTAGCTTTCCTAAAAGCCTACGAGCGTCCTATTTTGGACCAACAGTAAAATTTGTGTGGTTGATGTTTGTGCAGAGGAGAGAGAAATGAACAGAGCCACAAAAACATTACTTTAAAAGGAAAGTGTCAAAGTTTTTTGGGACAAACAAATAAGGGAAATTCGCAAAGTCTAGTGGGACAGAGGGAGTATTACTCTTTTCTTCCTCTTCTTCTGTTATTCCAAACAAAAATACATGTTCATAACAATTGTCAACACACAACATGTTGTCTATCCAGATAGACAATAGTATGCATAATTTGTTTTCACAACATTCTTGTGTACATTCACAAATACAATCACATGTCCAACACTTATATACACTTTCACATAACAACTACATTAACTATCAAAACATACTACAAAACACTCTTTTACCAATACTTGCATGTCCATACAAACGTTATTTCTACGTAGACAAACAAATGACATTGTCCGTCAGACAGACATTTTACATATGGGTCAAACAACTATGAAACTACGTTTCAGTAGACAGACGCTGCAATTATAAGTTGTCTGTTAGACAGAAAACCCTTTTGATATGGGTCAAGAAAACAAAATCAAAAAAATCAAGAAAACAAAACCAAGACAACAACACATACACAAGCCTTCGCCCTCTGCACCTTGTTCATCGTCCTCCCTTAACCTCGCATCTAGTGTTGTTGGTTTCAATGAATACATTCTTACAATTTAGATAGTTGAAAAGAATGTGTTGTTTTCAAGTCTAAATCTGATCAATCCCCCTTCCACCCCCCTAAAATCTTGGCCTACGCCCTCTGCACCTTGTTCATCATCCTCTCTTAACCTCGCATCTAGTGTTGTTCGTTTCTAAAACTATTACAAGTAACCCATATTTCATAAAACTAGGAAGACTATACATTACAAGAAACACAAAGTAATTACAAGAGTGACTTGCTGCCCCATCATCCTCACCAAACATGTGAAAGTTATTATTGTTCTGCCTTGGCATATGTTGTACCCAAAGATCAATTTGGGTTATCTTCTTATAGCTTGGTCATACTCTTCAACTCTGACTCCTTGGCCACATAAATTTGGGAGATGGAAGCAGCCACTCTCATGTTAGCTTCCTCTTCTGCCTCAGTAAAGAATGTCTTGTTCTCTGGCCATGGCTGCCCTGAGTCTATGTTCTTCCGCCTCCAAATGTGCAGCATGCCCTACTTCTAAGGATTGCTTTAAGGTTATGACCTCAATAGTCAAATCCTCCACTGTCTCCTCAACTCCTCTGGATGCAGAAACTGTTTCCTCTGCTTTTTTCACAGCTCCATCTCTCACAAAATCTTGAATGGAGTTGCTCCAATTCTGCCCTCACACTTTCCAGTTCAGAAACCACGGCCAATTTGTAACTCTTGCTAAAAAACCTAATTTTACTAAGGTTTAACACTAAATTTCAAAATAAAAATAGCAAATTCACAACTATAAAACAGTAAAATAGTTAAACAAACACCACTATACATATTTTAAACTGGAAAAGTATAAAGAGAAATGGTTCTCAATAAGACTGAAACTTCTTCTACGTAATTAAATAGGACTCCGACTTTTTTTAACCCTGAATAGGACTACATGTTAGCCGAACTACCATTTTTACCCCTGCTCTCTTTGTTCGTACTTCCTAGTGGGCTAGCGGCTAACAGAGGATCTCAGTCAAAATACACCTTCATCATCCAACAAAACAGAAGCTCGAATACTACACTTCGACAACGGCAGCGAGGTGAAGACGGATGTGAGACGGAAGCGGTAGAGACAGAGATGGCGACGGAGGTATAGGGGTCCGTATTGCGTGACGTTCCTCCTACATACCTTCTTCTTTCGATGTTCTTCCAAGTTCCTCGTGTTCTTCTCATCATCACCTCCTTCCTCTATCTTCGTTTTTTCCTTCCATCTCTTTTGATTCTTCATTACATTACAGTGGGGTAATGGTTTTGCTTTTAAAAATTTGTTCTTTCGTTTTTAATTGTTCTTCATTCGTTTTTATGAATTTCCGATTTCTTCTTATATTTGTTGTTTTTCTAAATTATTTGCCTTTTCAGTTTTTTTTTGTTTCTGCCAGTCTGATCTGCTAGTGCTTTATTAAGCTTTCTTTGGTTTCTTTTCCAGTTACTTTTTTCAATTTCTTATTTCATTAAACTTGCTTTACTAGATTTTATAATCATGGAGATTCCTGGAGATTTAATTTGAATTGTTGAAGGAAATGGGAGTGGAAAGTGCTGATGAAGGTGGGACACTTCATTTTAAACAGTAACCTTTTTGAGTGGGTGACCTA